TTTTTTTTTTTTTTTTCCCTCTCACTAGCCACCTTTAACATCAGATGCATCAAATATCGGGACTAGTTTAATGAAGGACCTCAAAAAATATCTGTTATATGAAGAAAACACAGTTATAAACTAGTCCCCAGCTGCTACATAGCTCACCAAAAGCCTACAATATAACTGTCTATACATACTACCTGCTCACAAGTTTTTCTTCACTGCATACTTAAGACAAAATAGGCAATTAAAGAACTTTCTGTACAATCTCCATGCACAAGAATATATTTCTTCACACTTATTTTAGAAAGGTTGCTCCTGTTAAAGCTATAACCTTCTTATACCAGTTCTTTGACCTTAATAATTAATTGTCTTCTCCAAACACAGGGCTTCTTAGTTTCACTCCTGACCATTTCCAGGAAGGACCTGGCTTCCATTCTTTTCATCTGAAATTTTATATGATGTGTTTTTTCAGAGCTTGCTCAATCTGAAGATCCAGTTTAGATCAATTCAACCAATCCCTTCAAGCTAGAGAATTAAAACAAGTTTACTGAAAAGTGATTCTTCTCAAAGCAAGTTCTCTAATCTTTCCTTTCTATAAAGATCTGAGAAGATAACAAGGAACAATGCTTTAATGAAGGACAAGTATAGCTGACTCTGGGTGTATAAAGAATTACCAAATCACATGGCCACAGACATGAGAAAGTTTGGTTACTAATCTTATTTCTTAAGGATTGGTTGCAATCTATGTATTAATGTTAATCTTTTAGGTAAATTTTAATAACTATCTCCTAAAAACAATATCCAATTATGGAATATTAAAAAAAAACCTCATTTATTGGGTAGAATCTTTCAGCGGGCACTGAAAAATCAGTCAACTTCTTTGGATCTGTTTTCCATTTCAAAAACAAACATTGCCAGGTGTAGTGGTGCACACTTATAATCCCAGCACTTGAGAGGCTGAGGTAAGAGACTCATCATGAGTTCAATGCCAGCCTGGCACTACAAAGTGAGTTGAAGGCTACCTGAACTGCACAGCTAGACTGTCTCAAAAAAAAAAAAAAAAAAATATATATATATAAAACCACACAAAATGGCTATGTGGACTAAATAAATGAGTAAAAGCAAAAGTACTTTAAAACCAAATCATAAATTATAATTAAAAGCATTTTTAAAATAAAAATTCAAGGCAATGTTTTTATTTATTTTTTATGTGTTTAGCATAGGGTCTACAGGGTCTCACTATGTACATAGATTGGACTCATAGTGATCCTCCTGTTTTCACCCTCCAAAGTGCTGGGATTACAGGCATGTGTGTCACCACACCCAGTCTCAGTCACCATCTCAGCAGCCCCAGGGGTGGGGCTGACACAGCTTGTGGGGCCGGGGATTGAACCCTGGCCCCTGCACTCTGCCTAAGCAGGTGCTTTATTCGGCTGAGCTATCTGGCTGGCCCAGCAATTTAAAAATGGAATTGGAGTTGAAAATATAGCCACCAATGCAAGAAGTAAGAATTTACAAATAATTATAATGTCCAACACAACTACATATGAATAAGAAACTCTATTCAAAACACTGTTGAAAATATTTCTATTTCTGGTATCTACTTGTCCACCTAACTTTTTTGTTATGGTATCAGGAATCAAATGCATGACCCTCACGCTTGCCAGG